TTTTCCCAACAAAATTAACTCCTATTTCACTTGTTCTTCACTTGTTGGACCAATAGAAAGTTGCTGGCTGAGGGATTGCACTGATAAAAAAACAAACAAAACATAAAAATCATAGCAAGAAAGCTATTAGGGAGACTTAGAAGCAGAATAGAACACCAATTCAGACCGCCAGCCTGTGAGGCATAGCCCTGCCATGGAATCTGTTTGGTTTCTTTACAAGCTCCACTCATGAATCTCTTTTGAGTTTTTTCATGTGAATTGAAGTCTGTGTCATTATCATCATCACTTCAATGAATTAGCATGCTAGGAGTGGGGGATGGGACATGACGTACCAGCCCAGCCTGGCACTGCTGGTTACTGCTGATCAGTACCACCATGTAGCCCATAGGGACATATGGGAATCCAGTTGTCTAGCCCAGCTATGGAAGCTTGAGGCCGGTCAAGAAGTTGGTAGATGATGACTTAAAATGATGTTTTCTCTTTAGGTGGCAGAAATGAAGACTTAGTGGGAACGTGATTGCATTTATAAAATTCACAAGGGATAACTGGAACTTCTAATCCCCTGGAGGGGAGAAAGGCCTCTTGGTACTTGGAAAACAAAGAAAATTTTGTTCCCAGAAGTGTATGGATATCATTATCCCAAGAAGTGATATAGAAAGAAAGTACTAGGGGGTTTCAAAACCAATTAACTTAAATTCATTGGTGACAAATCTGGTCATTCTCTAAGACAAATTAGTGATGTTTGAAGATATACAAACATTACTTATTTTTGGGAATTACCACCAAATCTTCACATAGTTTATTCCTGCTGGAGGCTAACCTCCAGTTTACTGCAATCATGGGATTAACCTAGGGGGGCATTGATTGACAAATACAAGTTATATATGTTCTTGGTGGATAACACAATGTTTTGATGTGCATGACTAACTCAAGCTATTTAACATATGCATTATTTCATATACTTGTCTTTTTGTGATGAGAACATTTCAAATCTCTCTTAGCAATTTTAAAATATATAATAATTTTATTAACTATAGTTACTATGATGTGCATTGGATCTCTTAAACTTATTCTCCCTTACTGAAATTCTGTGTTTTTTGACCAACATGTCCCCTCAATCCTTTCACCATAGGTTTTTAAAAAAATTTTTTGGTACCAGGAATTGAGCCCAAAGGAGCTTATCACTAAGCCACATCCCCAGCCCTTTTTATTTTTTATTTTGAGACAAGAGCTCTCCAAGTGTAGGATCTCGCTAATTTGTTGAGGTTGACTTTGAACTTGTGATTCTTCTGCCTCAGCCTCCTGAGTCATTGGGATTATAGGTATGCACCACTACCCCTGGCCAGGCTGGTCTTGAACCCATGAGCTCAAGTGATCCTCCCACCTCAGCTTCCCAAATACCTGGGACTTCAGGTGCATGCTATCATGCCTGGCTTAGGGATTTAGGGAGGTTTTTTTTTTTTTTTTTTTTTTTTTTTTTTTTTTTTTTT